CACTCTGTTGCCTGGGCTGGAGTGCAGTGGCGAGATCTCAGCTCACTGCAACCTCTGCCTCCCAGTTTCAAGTGATTCTCCTGTCTCAGCTGCCCGAGTAGCTGAGATTACAGGTGTGTGCTACCACACCTGGCTAAATTTTGTATTTTTAGTAGAGACGGGGTTTTGCCATGTTGGCCACACTGGTCTCGAATGCCTGACCTCAGGTGATCTGCCTGCCTCGGCCTCCCAAAGTGCTAGGATTACAGGTGTGAGTCACTGTGCCTGGCCATTCAAATAATTTAGTGTCTACCTTGTACCAGGCACTGTGTTAAGTGTTGGAAAAATGTAAACAATACAGGTGAATAACCTGCCCCTATAGAACTCAGTGCTTATTGAGAGAGAAACTTTAATTTAAAATGTACACATATATAATTCACTATAATGAGTGTTATTAAGTAAGTATATATAGGATGACATGAGAACACATAACAAGGAACCTAATTTGGATTGGGTTCGGAGAAAGCAACGGTATGAGACTAGATGACTATTGTAATGCTTAGAATGAAAACTTTATTTCTTGAAAAGGTTTTTATATACGGTGTCTCTAAATATGTGCTTATGCGTATGTGTGAGGTTTGTATTTCAATGAGTTGGACATACTAAATATCACTTTATATGATAATGTGGACCCGTAATCGGTCATTACTATTAAGATTTTTCAAGCTTCCGTCATAACAGTGTTATTTTTTCTTCCTCTCTTATAGTATACACTTTGGAATTTTCTCCCAAAGAATCTGTTTGAACAATTTAGAAGAATTGCAAATTTTTATTTTCTCATAATTTTCCTTGTACAGGTAAGAGCTCCTTAAACAGCCACTTAACATTGAAACTTGATTGCTTCAAACAAATTTTCAATCCATTTCTAACCTTAAAATGCCATGTAATAAAAAAAAGACATTCCAGAGCTTATTATAATATGACTTCTTAAAAAAGTAGAAACATAACATTTAAAGATGATCATTTTATGGATTTCTAAAGTGGTATTTTTGATAGAAAACCTGTTGAGATTTTATTTCATTATTTTCTTTGAAACTTTCATATCTTTGCTCTTCCTAGGATGATGTGTATTGTGTACCATTAAATGAAATAGAATATATCAAAATTGAAAATAGTTCAAACTAGTAGCTTTATCTTATTACATACCAGTTTCAGCTTAATTGGAAACTTCTCACTCATCTTCCTGATTACCATTTTTGCTCTCCCTCATTCATTTACTCACTTTAAGGGTGAGAGTCTAGTAGATTAATCTGCTTCTCTGTATTTTTTCTACTGTTTTGCGTTTTAAATTTTAGACAGTTTAAATTGCATCTTTCATCTTTGAATCTGTAAGCTATTAAAATCTTTTCCTCGCCATAATTATCCCTGAAAATTTTACATTAAAGGTACTTTTTTTCTCTTTTCATTTTTTAAATGAAGCAGAAAAATCCCAATGAAATTGCTCAAATGACTTGTTGATGTTAAGTGCTTCTGTTTACTCACTTTAAGGGTTTGAGTAAATGGTGCTATAATTGAATTTAGCCTTGCTACTTAACATCTATCTGGGATATAATATGGGCAAGAGCCTATTTTAATCATGAATGATGGAAGATTTGAAAAGGAGCTCCTCTGGATCCATGGTCAGATGTCTTACGAACAGAATAAACTACCTCGAGGATTCTGCTTGCAAGAATCATTCTACTTGGTGGGCAGTGCATTTCATTTCAATTCAGCAAATGTATGCTACTCACCCACTTACTGTGTGCTATGCAGCAGGACAGACAACGAAAATGGTAGCAGGTGCAATGAAGATCAAGATACAGCTTTTCTACGCTTAAGGAATTTATGCTATAGCTAAGAAGACCAGTCACATAACAGTTATGTATTCACTTAATGTAGTACAGCCATTCAAGAAGCATGAACAAAATGCTTTGGGTATACAGTGTAAGTTATCATTTTTTTCTCCCCAAGAGGAATTTGAGAAATCTTCAGAAAATAGATGGTATCTGAATGGAGCCTTGAAGGATTAGAAGGAGTTTACCTGGTGGAGAATGCCGAACTGGTATTTTGGGGACATGGAAGAGATTGCCTAAATCGACAGAAGCATGTAGAAGCCTTGTGTACATGGAAGTATATGTTGTATCTACAACACACGTGTATGGCAGGGGCAGGCCTGATGGAAGGTTGGAGATGAGAGTCAACAAGTTGTGAGGGCAGATTGTACTCATGACCATCTTCCCTTAAATCTAGTTCTCGTTCAGTATTTCCCGTCTCAGTGAATGATGACAACATCCACCTAGGCATGCTAACCTGATACTTGGGAGGCATCTTTAATAAGCACTTACCCTCTAACTCCTGCCATTTTTCCCTCCTAAATATTTATAGAACTTATTTCCATGTCTGCTAACACTCTAGTCCAAGCCATCATCTTTCACCTAGATTACAGAAATAGCCTCCTAAATTACCCTGCCTTCACTTTTGTTCCCTTCTAATTCATCTTCCACAGAGCAGTAAGAATGATCTTTTCAAAATGCAGTTCTGTTCATGTGACTTTTCCTTGTTTAAAACTTTCAAGGATTTCCTGTTATTTGTGGGATAAAGAATGAACAGCTTTCTTTGGCCTAGAGGGCCCTGCACAGACTGGCTCCTGCCTCCCTCTCCAGCCCCATCTCACACCACACTCCCTCTTGGCACTGGCTTCCTTTATTTCCCAAACACCTGCGTATACTGTTCACTGTGCCTAGAAAACTACCTTTCATCTAGTTAACTTCTTTTTACCCTTCAGACCTCAGCATCTACATACTTGTTTTACTATCTGATTTTTCCTATAAGCTGCCAGCTACATGAAGGCAGGGACTTGTCTTCATCTTGTTTAAAGCAGTCTATCTAGAGCTTGGCTGATAATAGCACAAGGGCTGACAGAATGGTGCTTAGCAAATAGGTGGTAAGTGAATGGCTATATTTCAATAAAGGGGTTAATCTGAGCTGGGATAAAAACTATGCCTGAATTTAGGACTATTTGTTAAACTGTCATTTGGTTTGCTTTTGTTTTAATGAAAATTAATATTTACCCTACTACTGGAATGTGTTTCGTCTATGTTTCTGTTTGAAATGTTTGCAGCATGTAAAATGCTGCATATGAGTTAATAACTAATTTTCATTTTCCTTTCAATTTAATTTCTTTACCTAGGTCACAGTAGACACACCAACTAGCCCAGTTACCAGTGGACTTCCACTTTTCTTTGTTATAACTGTTACAGCCATTAAGCAGGTAAATTTCCTACTTATACTTGCAACTGCATTTCATTGTTAGAATTTCATTGTCAAAGGCCCCTTTTCATATTTATATACAGTGGGCATTATCTTCTATGGATTTACTTTTATTTTATTATTTATTATTTTTGAGACAGGGTCTCACTCTGTTGCCCAGGCTGGAGTGCAGTGATGCGATCTCGGCTCACTGCATCGTCCACCTCCTGGGTTCGAGCAATTGTCCTGCCTCAGCCTCCCGAGTAGCTGCCACCACGCCCAGCTAATTTTTGTATTTTTAGTAGAGACAGGGTTTCATCATGTTGGTCAGGCTGATCTCGAACTCCTGACCTCAGGTGATCTGCCCACCTCGGCCTCCCAAAGTGCTGGGATTACAGGTGTGAGCCACCATGCCTGGCTAGATTTATTTTGTATTTGTTACTTGTTGAAAACCTATTAAAATGATAGTAAAGCACATCCTTAATATTTCCTTGTTTTCTCTTCAATATCTGTGTGAGGGGATGTAAACGTAAAAGAAAGCAGGTAAAAGGTATAGCCCAGTCAGGAAATAGGAGGTAGATTTTTAATGCACATTAATTGTTTCAGTGTGGTATGTCTGTGAAAAACTGCCATTTTTGTGGATTTTTAAAATTGTTTTTGCCTATAGCAGAGAACTCAAAGAATAATTTTATTGTTTTTTTCCTGATACTGCTGCAGAAGGTAGTAGATAGAGGGGACATTTCCTGGTTTTTTTTTTGTTTTTTTTTTGTGTGTGTGTCAGAGCTGATAGACTGCCACAGATTGTGATAAGGATGTCTTTGAAGTGTTTTGAACATTTTGTATGCTAGTATGTTTGAAAAATTCCAGATGAAAATAGAAACAGAAAACTGGGGGTGAAAGGGTAGATTAACAGTGTTAATCATGTGTTGTGTCTGTCCACAGGATCTGACTGTTTACAAACATACTTTTAGATGATACTTAACAAAGAAAATGCTTTTAAAAAGGATACCAAAGAAGCTTGCAAAAAAAAAAATCATCTTAGCAGTACTGGGAACAAGATTACCTTTCCTCTTGGGGTTATCTGGTCTTATATCTTGCCTACCAGGAACTATAAGAGTATTTTATCAAGTGTTCAGTTGCAAAATAAAGACTTTTGGAATGTTCTTTCCCTTAGGCTGGTAGGATTATCTTCTTTAACATCATAAAATTGCTGGTTCCAAGAATAGCATGTGTGGTTTTCAAAGGCTTTTTTACTGATTCATTCTACTCCCAATACTGGTTCATGTTAGGGCCTTTATTTCTTCACCAGCTTCACAGAATGTACCCTATAAAGTGATAGCCTAATATTGTCATAAAGAGGACAGAAGAAGAATAGATATAGCACCTGAGGGGAAAAAAGTGGGGGGAGGTGATGAAGAGATTTTTCAAACAGTTGTATTTTAAAAGGTACAGACATCATTACAATGAACAAGGCAAAGGTATATAAAAAATGAGAGGAGGTCATGCTCAAACAAATGAACATCCTCCTTCTTTAGATCTCCTGGCTTAAATCTACTTGAGATGAACAGTCCAAAGTAAAATGAGTCATTACATCTTTCTCTGATTACTTTTAACTATAAAAAATGGATACCTATCACTTCTCGGCCTTTTGGCTAAGATCAAGTGTAAAAATGGATACCAATTTGTATTTTTTTTTTTTTTATCACTAAGTCCGTTGAAAAGTTTAGCTGTTGATCTCTAAAACTTATCATAGCTTCTCTGCCAAAACAATCCTAGCTTGCCTTTTCTATTCTTTGTGGGTGAGAAATAATTAAAATACTCCCTTGGAGATGATTACTCGAACAGTCTACTACAGCATGTACAAAGATTATATGTAAGTGATTATGGCTATAAGAAAACACAAACCCAGGACAATCTTTTTTCAAATTAAAAAGTAGAGAGAATTAACATTAATTTGAATAAGACTACAATTAGAATCAATCATAGTCTTTCACACATACAAAATAGTAAGTCTCCAATGCTTGTGTTTTCATTAATGTTTAAAGAATGGAGAAAACTTAACACTGTATTTTACTTTTAACTACAGTTAAAAGTGATCAGAGAAAGATCTAATGGCTCATTTTACTTTGGACTTTTCATCTGAAGTAGATTTAAATAAAGCTATTTACCTAAGGGGTATTTTGAAAGTATATCTCAGATTTGCTATTAAAATATACAGCATTGTTTCTTTAACAGACTGAGTTTAAATTAATGCTGTAAATATAAATATCTACTGTTGACTCGGGAGGATACAGAAATTTATTAACAACCTTATTCAATATCTGAACTCTATTATATAGTTATTTTTATCTTTCAGGGATATGAGGATTGGCTGAGACACAGAGCTGACAATGAAGTCAACAAAAGCACTGTTTACATTATTGAAAATGCAAAGCGAGTGAGAAAAGAAAGTGAAAAAATCAAGGTATTTTTTCTTAGTCCACTCCTTTTTTCTTTAATGGGAAAAATACACCATTTTTAAGTGTATAATTTAGTGTCATTTAGTACTTCATAAAGTTTTGCAACCATTAACTCTATCTAGTTCCAGAACATTTTCATCATCCAAAAAGGAAACCCTACACCCATAAGCAGTTACTCCACATTTCTCCCTCCTCCCAGGCCCTACCAATACTAACCTTCTTTCTGTCCCTATGGGTATATGTATTTTGAATATTTTATATAAATGCAATTATATACTATGTGGCCTTTTTGTCGAGCTTCTTAGGTTTATCTGTATTACAGTGTATATCAGTATTTCATTCCTTTTGGTGGCTGAATAACATTTCATTTTGTTTATTCATCAGCTGATGGACATTTGGGTTGTTTCTACCTTTTGGCTGCTATGAATTGCTATGAACATTGAATTACAGTTTTTGTTTGAACGTCTGTTTTTAATTCTTTGGGGTATAAACCTAGGAGGAAAATTGCTTGGTTATATTATAATTACGTGTTTAACTTTTTAATGAACCACCAAACTATTTTCCATAGTGCCTGTATCATTTTACATTCCCATCAGCAATATATGAGAGTTCCAAGGTAGTATTGTTTGTTTACAATCTCAGGCTATTATTTATTCCAGTTAATTATTGTTTATTATTTACACAAGACCCCTGTCAAATAACATTTTTGACTTGTCCATGTCAAACACTAATTTTTTGGCTCTCATTAGATTTTTGTCAGTTGCAAAATTATATATTTAGAGCAGTTTTAGGTTCACAGGAAAATTGAGCAGAAAGCATAGAGAGTACCCATAAACCCACTGTTCCCAAACATATTTTCTCTGGCTGTCAACATCTGACACCAGAATGGTACATTTGTTACAATCAGTGAACCTATTTTGGCACACTATCACCCAAAGTCCATAGATTACATTAGGGTCACTCTTAGTGTTGTACATTCTGTGGGTTTTGTCAAATGTAGGATGCATATCCACATATCTTACATTTGTATATATGTACATATGTATCCATTGTAGTATCATGCCAGGATAGTTTCACTGCCCTAAAAATCATCTGTTCTCTTTTTGTTCATTCCTATTTTCCCCCTAACCCATGGCAACCAGTGATCTTTTTTGCTGTCTCTATAGTTTTGCCTTTCCTAGGATGTCACATATTTAGAATCATACAGCCTTTTCAGATTGGGTTCTTTCACTTAATAATAGGCTTTCAAGTTTCTTCCATGTCTTTCTGTGGCTTGATAGCTCATTTGTTTCTAGTGATGAATAATATTTTATTTTCTGGATATACCATAGTTTATCCATTCACCTACTGAAGGGCATTTTAGTTGCCTCTGAAATTTGGCAATTATGAGTAAAACTGCTATAGACATTGTTTGCAGGTTTTCATTTGGACGTATGTTTTCTGAATAAATGCAAAGGAGTGCTGAATTGTATAGTAAGAATATGTTTAGTTTTGTAAGAAACTTTCTGCCTTCCAAAGTAGCTGTATTGTTTTGTATTCCCACCAACAAGGAATGAGAGTTCTTGTTTTTCCACATCCTCACCGGGTTTTAATGTTGTCAGTGCTTTGTATGTTGGCCATTTTAATAAATGTGTAGTACTTTCTCATTTTTGTCTTAATTAGCATTTCCCTGATAACATATGAAATGGATTTTGTTTTCACAAGGTTCTTTGCCATCTGTATATCTTCATTGATGAGATGCTGCTCAGTTTTTGCCCATTTTTGAAGCAGGCTGCTTTCTTATTGAATTTTAAGAGTTCTCCATATGCCCAACGGTAGTTAAATTTTCTTGCAACTTCTTATAGTAATGGATGGGAGGAAGACTACAGAGTGGGAAGGTCACCAGTGTTTGACATATAATGCTTTCCTTTTTCTACTTTTTCTTTTCTCTATTCTCTACATCCTGGTCGAGGGGGAACTTGTGCTTAACTAGATTAGGTTAAGATCTGAAGTTTTTGAAACAATTGTAGAAACTCAGCATCATTAATCAGCATAAGAACCAAAGGCAGTCTGAGTACAGTGGCTCATACCTGTAATCCCAGCACTTGGGAGGCCAAGTTGGGTGGATCACTTGAGTCTAGAGTTGGAATCCACCCTAGTCAACATGGTGAAACCCTGTCTCTACAAAAAGATAAATACAAAAAAATTAGCCAAGCATGATGGCTACTTGAAAGGCTGAGGTGGGAGGATCCAAAAAGTTGAGGCTGCAGTGAGCTGAGATCGAGTCACTGCATTCCAGCCTGGGTGACAGAGTGAGACCTTGTCTCAAAAAAAAAAAAAAAAAAAAAAAAAAAAAAAAAAAAAAAAAAGAAAAAAGAAAAGAAAAAAAAAAAAGAAAACTCCAAGGCAGCCTAGATTCATAGCATCCAATCTGTTGCTCCTTGTACACTACATAAAATTGCAAAGCAGGCAAAGGCCTCCTACATCTCTCCCTTTCTCTCATTTCCTCTTTCGGATTTTGGTGACACTACCCCACAACCCTTTACAAAGGCTCCTGTCTTTCACTTTCACTCCACCAAGCTTTTTGCCTTGAGGCTGAACTCAACCAGGTATAATCTTGTTTAAATAAATGCGAAACTATTGTGATTAAATTATTGTGTGAAATGCTATTTGATGTAGCTGTTTCTGGAGTGTAAATGTGTGGAAAGAGATGCTTATTAGCCAGCGGCCTCTAAATGGTAGATTGCTTGGCTAGGGAGTAGGGGGATAGAATTTGTTAAGACTCTTTTTGAGCAAGAGAGAGACTTGGTCTGCATCCTCAGTGTGGTGGAGAGTCTTTGAAGTGTTAAAGCCACAGAGTGACCCCATGATTTTTTAAAAATAAAACTGGAGAGAGGCAAAATGAAAGCATGGCAAATGTGCAGTCAGATATTGTGTAGGCAAAAAATGATAAGGGCTTATATTAGGATGATAGTGGTATTGATTACAATAATAAAAATAGTAGTCACCATTTATATAGTATGTAATATATGCCAGGCATTCTTTTTTACATTCTGTTACCTCATTTAACCCTCACTTCACAACAGCCATATGAAGGTATTTTTATTATCCTCTCTTTACAAATGATGAAACCGAGGCACAAGGTGGTTAAGAAACTTGCCCATTACTAGTAAGTTGGAAAGCTGGGATTTGAATTAAAGCAAGACTAGTTGTAGAGTCCATGCACTTAACCACAACTCTCTACTACCTGTTTAGATTTTAAGGGAAATAGATATATTCAGGATATTTTTTGGAGGTAGAATCGTCAGGATTTAGTGATTTATTGGATGTAGTGGGTGAGAGGAAGAGAAAAAAAAATAATTAAGATAGCCTTCCTGGTTTTTGCCTGAGTAACTGAGTGAATTACATAGTACTATTAAAGAAAATGCTGGTGCTTTTAAATAAGATGGGAAAGCTGGGAGAAAAACAGATTTAGGGACAGAGGTGGGAATGAAGGGAAATCAGGAATTCATTTTTGACCATGTTAAGTTTAAGAAACCCAGTAGACATACAGTTGGAGTTGTCAATCCTGGAGCTCAGAGGAGATGTTTTAACTAGAAGTTGAAATTTGGGTATCATCAGTCTGTAGACACTATATGATGCCATGAAACTGGATGAAATTTCATACAGCACAGAGAATGGGACTTAGTAATAGGACTTGAGGAATTCCAATGTGAAGACACCATTATTTTTAACAGAAGGAGTATTTTTTGGCATCAGAAATGTTGGAAACTAGATATAGTAAGACACCTCTCAATAATGTCATGCTTTAATGCCAAATAGAAATATAAGTTATACTCTAGTACTTCAACCAATGAATCAACCAAAATGTATTGAAATACTGTGCTAAGTTCTAGAAGGGTTACACAGAATAAGAAGAGATGGTTCATGCTCTTAAGAAGTTTTATAGTTTAGCTTAGTAGTCATGACTATAATGCTAAAAGAATAAAAATACAAGATGGTAACTGGTCAGAACCCAGTGAGTGCTTCTGGGGGGTGGGGGACCAACTCTGAATTTAGAGAAGGAGAATGAAAACTGTTTTCTCACATGAAATGGGCATGAAATAGATTGTAAAATTCAGAGAGGCAGAGTATGAAAACATATGGATTAGGGCAGAGAGTGAGGAACAATGCCTAAGAGGTAAAGAGGGAGCTCCTTGTATAAAAATGAGGTGTTAGGTTAGATTTAGTAGTAAAAAAAAAAGTCGATTTGAATGTG